TACAGCGGTGGAATATTGACAGCTGAATTTGCTCAAGTGAATGTTTAAAAAATCAAGAATTACAGTATTTGTGGGAGTGCACAGGATGCGTGGGGGTGCATCAGGTGTGGGAAGGTTGAATGAGAGTGCACAGGTTGCATCGGGTTTGGTAAGGTTGAATGAGAGTGCACAGGTTGCATGGGGTTGCATCAGGTTTAAGAAGGTTGAATGAGAGTGCACAGGGTGCGTGGGGGTGCATCAGGTTTAAGAAGGTTGAATGAGAGTGCACAGGGTGCATGGGGGTGAATCAGGTTTAAAAACGTTGAATGAGAGTGCACAGGGTGCATGGGGGTGAATCAGGTTTAAGAGGGTTGAATGAGAGTGCACAGGGTGCATGAGAGTGCATCAGGTTTAAGAAGGTTGAATGAGAGTGCACAGGGTGCGTGGTGGTGAATCATGTTTAAGAGGGTTGAATGAGAGTGCACCGGGTGCATGGGGGTGCATCAGGTTTAAGAAGGTTGAATGAGAGTGCACAGGGTGCATCAGGTTTAAGAAGGTTGAACTTAGTGGTCAGGGTGCATGGGAGTGAACAGGGTGCATGGGGGTGCACAGGGTGCGTGAGGGTGCATCAGGTTCGGGGAGTTTGAATGAGAGTGCACAGGGTGCATGGGGGTACACAGGGTGCATGGGGTTGCACAGGGTGTGTGAGGGTGCATCAGGTTCGGGGAGGTTGAATGAGAGTGCACAGGGTGCGTGGGAGTGCACAGGTTGCATGAGAGTGCGCAGGGTGCGTAAGAGTGAGCAGGGGTGTGTGGGAGAGCCTAAGGTTGAGGTAGAAAGAATGAGAGTGCAAAGGGGTAACGTTATATGTAGAATGAATTGCTTATGATACATGGGGTACACAAGTTGTAGTAATGTATGCATGTGTTTGCATGTGTGCATAAATTTTGCATATATTAAGAAATTATATTTGCATATATGGGAAAATACCATGCTCCCGTTACCAATTCAACTGATACTGCTGGTTACTAGCCCGAGTGTAAGCCTTTCTAGCGTTCGTACGCTCCCCACACTCTACATGTAGCATAGTGGGGAGTAGACAAAAGATAAAAAGGCTGACACTCAGGCTAGCTGGTTACACTTACTGGATCTGGTCTTATGCTTGCCTGTATAGCTCAAATGAAACGTCTGTTACGTTGCATGTCCTTGTCTGTAATGTGTATAGCTGACATCATCATCACTTTGTGGAGAATTGTTTTACTTCATAAATTAGTTTAAAGATCTCAATTTTTTTAAGAAACAAAAAGAAAAGAACAGCATACATAACAATGTACAGTGCAAAGCTATCCCCATGCCAAATTGTAGGGCACTGGGCAAAAGCCAATGCATTTCCGACAAGTTATGCCCAAAATACACGTAAACTGATAGTAGCATTTGTAGGGTAGTAAATCTACCACCTATCACCATAATGATACATTTTGTTGGACAGTATGGTACAGAATCTTTAAAAAAGCAGATTTCTGCGCAGAAATCTGCACAGATTTCTGCACCCAGCGCAGAATTCTGCGCAGAAATCTGCGCGGGGTGCAGAATTCTGCGCAGAATTCTGCAGAAATCTGCAGAAAAAACCTGATCCCTAGGGAACTATCACTGTTATCTACATAGTTGTTGTCATCTTCTACATCACAATATGGAATGTCAATTGTCCAGGATAAACTATGCTTGAAAAGTGAGAGGTAGTCCGGAATTAGAGTGTCTGTCCGGAATTATAGTGTCGCCTGTTGAATACATGTTGTACATACATACACACCCACACACAAATGCTTAAAGTGAAAACATAGCCTTCTTGGGAAGGTAACAATGTTAAGAGAACAAACCAATGTTTGTAAGCAGGCCGTTTCTCACGATGACACCAAACGATGCGCCGATATCAAGCGACCCCAGAATCTTCTTCCAGTCCACACCCGGGGTCTCTATATTGATGCTGATGCCTTCCCAGAATCCTCTCTTGGTACGTTGCCTCATGGGAAGGAGGGGGTTTTCTAAAGCTGGACTGGTCACATTCTTAAACCTTGAACAAACACAAAACAATAACTACATGTACCAGTTTCATCACGTTGTAAGCTATTTGCAAGTTCTTTGGCCTTAGCACTTAATCTGTAAACAAGGCAGATTATACAACAGTAACTGTCTAATATTATGCTATCTATTCATCCATCCACAATCCATCCATCCTTCTATCCTTCCATCCATCCATATAGGAATCTGTCTATATTCAACCATCCTTCTGTCCATACATTCATCCATCCATCCATCCTCCTGTCCATCCATCCATCCCTTAATCCATCCATCCATCCATCCCTTCATCCCTCCATCCTTCTGTCCATCCATCCATCCCTTCATCCATCCTTCTGTCCATCTATCCATCCCTTCATCCATCCTTCTGTCCATCCATCCATGTATTCATCCCTTCATCCATCCATCCTTTTGTCCATCCATCCATCCATTCATGTATCCATCCATCCATCCCTTCATCCATCCTTCTGTCCATCCATCCCTTCACCCATCCATCCATCCATTCATCCCTTCATCCATCCATCCTTCTGTCCATCCATCCATCCCTTCATCCATCCATCCATCCTTCTGTCCATCCATCCATCCCTTCATCCATCCATCCATCCTTCTGTCCATCCATCCTTCTACTCTTCTGTCCTTTCATCCATACTTCCATCAATAGTTAAAATTCGGAAAAAACATAATAAAAACCAACTACTACTTAAAGTAGAGCTACATGTACTTCATAAGCAAAATCTGTTGTTCAGTAGAAAATAATAGATTCTTCCCATGAAGCAATTATGATATACTAGCATTATGGGTTGAAGATCCTGCATACCCAGGTCCGACATGTGGGTGGTCGTCCGGCAGTCTGCGCCCGTGTGAGTGTGCCTGGTAGTACATTCTGGCCTCGTAACGCACCTGCTCATTCTCATCTGTCATGGACGACGTGTGCAGGTGGTCTGCAGCCTGTGTCACGCAGGTAAGCATTTTTTTTTGTCGGTCTTACACGTTACAATATTATAATAGTAAAATGCAGGCTAGATCAACGTTCCTTCCGCTGTTCCAGCGGTGTGTATTGGTAATTTCCCGCCCCGCATGAGGTAAATTAGTACCCCTCCCATTATTCTGTGATGTTACCGCGGCCTGCATATGAATGCACACTTCACACTTACATTTCATCAACAAACCGATTCTAATTACGTAACTCTTAGTCCTTCCATCTATTCCTACAACATTGTAAATATTGAATATTATATATTTTGAATCACCTCTGGCCTCCTACCATACTGATTTATATCATTACTTTTTTGTATATAATGCATTAGCCTAGGTTATGCACCTTTTTTGTATATAATGCATTAGCCCAGGGTATGAGAAATTTCTGTGATTCGTTACTTTATTGTGTTATGTATGTAATGTAATTCACAATGTGGGGCCCGACATCAGCTCAGCTGCCAGGGCTTCCACTGTATTGCACTGTATTGTTTGCAATTTAAATAAATAAAAAAATAAAATAATAAAAAATGAATGCAGGAGTCTAACGAGTCTTACTAATGAAAAAGTAATGGAAAACTAACGAAAAAGTAACCAGTTAGTAACAGAAAACTAATGAAAAAGAAATGCGTTAGTAACGGCCGTTAGGGTAACTATAACGCGAACGGTACTGTACAAGACAATGAATTTCAAAGTACTTCATCTACACCTTGTACATGTACTTATTCTTGTTTTGGCGCTTAAAGCATCTCAGTTCTGTCTCCAGAGCGTTCTATTTGTTGCAAGTGTCTCTCATGTGTTAATATCTATGTCCAATAAGTTTTATATTTGCTAAATTAGCTCCACGATTACATCATCCTTCCAACTGCATCCATCCCGAATGCACAGAGTTAACAAGCAAAACCATCGCCAACCAAATTTTTTGTAAGTATACGACGTATAAATGAAATGTATGTGTAGAAAACAATTTTAATCGAAAGTTTAATGTCCGATGCACACAGTTAGTTGTTACATTTTACTTACCTTGCGCCCTCCTCTTAATGAGATAAAGGGCTGGCCTAGGTGTACTTCAACGAGTCATCTTGTATATACATGTATATTGAAATAAAGATGATTTTAAACCAAAATTTCCATACAGAAAGTAACAAACAAACAAACGTACCGCCTGGTGACGATACCCCCTCATGGCGTGTAGCCCCGCCCTCCTGAGGAGTGGAGGCGCGGAGGTCTGGTTCGTGTATGACACCAGGTGTTCAAACGAGCTCTGCTGCGCCGCGTTACCGAGCGCCTCCAGCAGCGTAACACGCTCAAAGTCGTGGAACTCCAGCTCCTCTTCTGTCATGGTGGAGCGCTTCTGTCGCTCCTCCCATGGATCTGGAATGGTAGACAAGCCATCCAATCAAGAGAGAGCTTTTTGAAGTGATTATAAAGGAAGAAAAGTGATTGGTTGTTCATAAAATGAGGGTTTCTGTCACTCCTCCTATGGAGCTAGAATGACAGACGGTTCGACCAATCCACTGACAGCTTTTTCAAGTAATTAAAAAGGAAGTAAAGTGATTGGCCATTCCCACAAGAAATGTTTTTCCCATTGATCTGGAATTGGAGACAAGCCATCCAATCAAGAGAGAGCATTTTGAAGTGATTAAAAAGGAAGCAAAGTGATTGGCCATTCCCACAACAAGTGTTTATTTTGCTTCTCCCATGGATCTAGAATGGTAGACAAGTCATCCAATCAAGAGAGCTTTTTGAAGTGAATAAAAAGGAAGAAAATGATTGGTCATTTCCAAAACAAGAATCTGTTTCTTCTCCCATGGATCTGGAATGTCAGACAAGTTAACCAATCAACTGACAGCTTTTTGAACTGATTACAAAGGAAGACAAGTGATTGGTTGTTCATAAAATGAGGGTCACTCCTCTTATGGAGCTAGAATGACAGACGGGTCGACCAATCCACTGACAGCTTTTTCAAGTAATTAAAAAGGAAGCAAAGTGTTTGGCCATTCCCACAACAAGTGTTTCTGTTTCTTCTCCCATGGATCTAGAATTGTAGACCAGTCAACCAATAAAGAGAGAGATTTTTGAAGTGATTATAAAGGAAGAAAAATGATTGGTCATTCCCAAAACAAATGTTTCTGTCACTCCTCCCATTTATCTGGAATGTCAGACAAGTTAACCAATCAACTGACAGCTTTTTGAACTGATTATAAAGGAAGAAAAGTGATTGGTTGTTCACAAAATGAGGGTTTCTGTTACTCCTCCTATGGAGCTAGAATCACAGACGGTTCGACCAATCCACTGACAGCTTTTTCAAGTAATTAAAAAGGAAGCAAAGTGATTGGCCATTCCCACAGCAAGTGTTTCTGTTTCTTCTCCCACGGATCTGGAATGGTAGACAAGCCATCCAATCAAGAGAAAGCTTTTTGAAGTGATTAAAAAGGAAGAAAAATGATTGGTCATTCCCAAAACAAAATTTAATGTTTCTATTGCTTTTCCCATGGATCTAGAATGGTAGACAAGTCATTCAATCAACAGAGAGCTTTTTGAAGTAATTAAAAAGAAAGCAAAGTGATAGGCCATTCCCACAAGAAATGTTTCAGTTGCTTCTCCCATGGATCTGAAATGGTATACAAGTCAATCAATCATGTGAGAGCCTTTTGAAGTGATCAAAAAAGAAATATTATGATTGACTGTCGTGAAAATGTAGCAGGCTAGACTGCCCCCCTCACCAGACTGTACTGGGGGGACATTCTGGCCAGGGGTACATTCTGGTTTGTTACACCTGCATATCCTTTGACCTATTCAGATTTAGAAAGATCTTCGTAGAGAGTAGCGTGCGTAGTCCAGTGGTTAGCGATCCTGCCTCTGGACTAAGAGGTTGGGAGTTCGAATCCCGGCTGATGTCGCTCACCCGACATGCACGCTACTGTTTAGGGTCGCAGTCCTTTGGACGGGACGTTAACTGTGGTCCACTGTTCATTGTGCTTGTCGAAAAGAGCTAGGGGAATTTCCCCGATACAATGAACCTGTAAATACTGTATATAGCGTCTGTCTTCTCTGTCACGACCAGTGGAAGATTAGCTCTTCAATGAGCTAAACTGGTTTGAGATCACTTTCACTTTCTTTTCGCTATAGAGTTGAAAGAAGTTGGTTTCTGATGTAACGGTTATGAATATTGTAATTAGGGTAATATATAAATGACCATGTGGAAAGACTTATTATAGAGAGCTATGCATATATTTGCGCATTAGGTAGGCACTGATTGGTTGGCGAGAGCAACCAATCAGGTGAAGGACTATTGTTAGCATAGTTGAGCTTGGAAGAGACAATCGCTGTGTTAGTTAGTTCGAGACCGAGGACTCAGGTACGTGACATGTTTAGTTGTAGTTCTGTAGATAAGTAGATTGTAACATTGACAGTTTGTGGTACCTCATCTGTATTGTATACTAGCCCATTGGTAACTATCTGACAGTGTGTAACTATGTGCTAAACTCCTTTGTAAGACCACATCTACCTGTATTAGAGTTAAAATACGGATTCAATAAACCCGGCTCGGCAGAAGTAATTGAACTGTTTGGATCTCGTTTATAGTAAGATACCTATAGACGCTAAGATACCAAACCACCACTAGACTTCAAATATTACACTCTTCAAATATTACACTGACCGTGAATGCCCAGGTCTGCTTCCATCCGCCCCACCACACGCCCTGCTATCTCATGGTAGCCATGTTTTACCATGTTCTCCACTATAGCTCCCAGGACCAGCAGGCATCGCTGGTTCACACTGGTAATCAGGTAAACCTCTGTGGATAAATCATGCAAAAAATTCTTGATTTGTGTATTACATTGAGTCTCATACAAGTATTTATTTATTTATTAATAATTTCAAATGCAAGACAACACATTACACAGGCTTACAGGCAGCAGAAGCTGGTGGACGTAAGTCTACATAAAGGATAACAAGTACATACAGCTACAACTTACGGAACATAACAATACATAATATATTTACAAGTTCAAAATTTACAAGTTCAATATTTACAAGTTCAAAATTTACATCAGTTACAGTTGTAGTAGAAAGCTCTCTAGACAAAATACAGGAAAACCAAAACATTCAAACATATGTTGTGTACATTAATTGACAGAATGAATGTTTTAAGTGCTATGATTGGCTTCAAATTCTCTATGTGCATATGCAGGCTTTTGTGCCCCTAAAATTGTTAACTGACTGCTGCTAAGTTTTAACAGTGGGTGCACCAGTGCACATATACTAGTAGATAATCGTATAACGTTATACAATGTAGCATAATAATATTATAATCATAAATCATACAACCTACCATCATATTCATCTGGGAAGAATGCCAAGTTCTCAAGTGTCCTTATGAAGCGCTGCAATGATATAAAGTATTTTTAGTCATAGAATTCATGTCCTATAAGATATTATAAGATATCCAAAATACTTAGCAAATTGGTACTTCACTTAAAGTTTACATAATTCGGTACATGTAGTGGTCAATAATACTCATATATTAAAGATAGTGGTTAAATCTGAACATTTAAGTAAATAAGTATTTTGTCTGCACAATGTAAAGTTTTATACATTTTAATACATATAAGTCGTTTTTTTCCAATCTTTATTGTAATTTTCAAAAGGAAACAAAGAATAAAGGCAAAGGACATGTTCACATACAAGAAAAATAAATACCCAGAGACATTTTGCAAACAATAACAATAAATCAGTCTAACAATTTACCATACAGTGGACCCCATTTCAACATAATGTTTATCCATTTTCCCACAGTTTTGTGCTATCACATATTCTAATTTGTGATAGTATTTAACATAAGGCCATGTTGATTTGATTATATGGATGACATCCACGCGCGCATGAATTTTCGGCCGTTTAAAAAAAAAAAAAAGTTTTCAACCATACTGTAAATCGTACAAAACAGTTGCAAAATGAGCAAAAATATACCGTAAGTTACAAAAACACCATACCAATGTCGTAGAATGCCAAAATCAAACGAAAAAAGACGAAATTGTAAAGAAATGAACTTGAAGACTAGATTATTCGCCAAACCATATTCTGTCCCATTTGTTCAACCCTCATGACCACGTAGATTTCATGATGAAAACAACTTTTTTTTTTTTTGCAAAACTTTTTTTTTATTCGCACGCGCGCATCAATTTTGGGGTTCCCGGAGGATGTCATCCATATGATCAAATCAACATGGCCTAACCTGTAAAGCCCTTAATTATACATATAAGTTAAACTTACTTGTGGTATTGGCTCGTCTATGCCCACATAGTGAATCAGAACTCTCTCGATGAAGTCCTTGTCCGGTTCATCAGCTAACAGGACGTAGTCAATGATCAGGTCGTCTGTGAAGTCTGTGTGCATATCCGCCACTGCACTCATCAGATGATACTTGTCAAGGCGTTTTGCACTACCAACGAAAACAGACAGGGGGCATGATTAGAGAGTGACTGATGGTGACCCATCAGATGATACTAGTACTTATCATTTTGCGCTACCAAAGAAAGAAATAGGGGGCATGATTAGAAAGTAACTGTTAGAAAATATTTCATACAAAGGAGATGGGAGAAACTATCAACATTCGATCAGTGGCCCTCCACTTGCAAGTTCCTGAAAAACACCAGTCCTCCAGTTCATGTTGCAGGTACCGGACTAATTTTTCCGCACACCCTGTGAAACTTGGATCTGCATGGAATCATATTTCATCACATATTTCATCACCTTAGCAAAGCTAATGCTCTAATACCTTTTCATAAAATGGACTCAAAAACTTTCACGAAAAGTTTAAGCAAAGATTCAAGACCTAGAAATGTGTATTAATTTTCAAGATTGACCATCCAGATATTGACAACCACCTGTTCTGTACATTTCAATTTGTGGAAGTACCATGTTCATGGAGATTTAGCAACAGAAAGGGCCTTTTTACTAAATTTTAGTGGTTTTAATTTAAATTTTAAATTCAAATTTTCTACCAGCATAAAAGGTGTCTCTTCATTGTTATTGGTTAACTACATGTAACAGTTACTGTTAAATAACATTCAGTGTTTCAAAGCTGGATCTGTGTCTTTGATAAACATTCAATTGGCTATTTAGTTTTAAGTTCAGTGTTTTACATCCCTCCCTCCCTCCCTCTTTCCCTTGGACATACATTGTACATTCAAACAAACCCGCAAACACAAACAATACAGTATGTTATATAATTGTCTACTGCTACCACAACATTGTTTTGTTTCTTTTAGAAAAGCTGTACATTGTACACTCTGTAACTGATATCCTGTTTCCCCAGAATTGGAATTACATGTAGTGCGCTGAACTAAGTGACCTGTTACGTTTTCAACACTCCATAGTGTTCACAGTGTGTTTGTTTAAAAGTATGTACCGTCCATTCTTCACTGAACACAAAACATATCAGTTCTCTGCTAATGAGGCTTAGTATGTAGCAAATAGCATTATAGACAATGTTATGGTCTACATAGATCCATGCCTGATTGCCTGACCATAGTACATTGTGTATCACAATTACACTGTATATATTAACGTTAGCCCTATGTTTGAATTGAATGAAAATTATTGGCACTTAAAGAACATAGTAACTGTTAGTGTACATGTACAATCATCAACAAATAAAAGCTACTGAAAAACATTTATAAAATTCCAGAAATTCAAGCAAAAAAATGGAGACAATCATCGGTATGCCAATAGAGAACTAAAGTTGTGTAAAGCTTTTGAATCAAAGGTATTTCTACTTTGAAAAACTGTTCTATTTTTGCAGTGATGTCGAAAAGGTCATCTAGATTCTAATGCCTTTGACTATTTCACTGTACAAAAGTAGGTTGGACCTAAGCTATCTGAAATTCTTGACCCAAAAAGTTAATATTTTAATGACTTTAGCACTCAACAAGTCGGAATGCTTAAATCCTTTGTGCAGCTAATTGAATTAGATTGAGGGCAGATGATTGGTTGGTATGTACGAAGACATTAGCAGAGTAAACCAATCAAAAAGACTTTTATTTCTTGTACGGACCACTAGCTAGGTTGTTGTCAATACGTGTATCAAATGACAGCCAACTTGTGCTGTTGTTTGAATGTTGTTTTAATGCATTGTGCCCCCAACATAAACAAATTTGTTTGCAAGAGAAAATGAGAAAGTTTTCGAGGCTCGCAAAATTTGCTAATGTCATGTTTTCTAAGATATGATGTCATCATATACTATTAAACGTGTTTCTATTAATACAAGAATATGATGACATTTTTATTTATTTTTATTCATATCTAAGTCAAAAACATCATGATCAAGCTTACTATAATAATAATAACAGGCATTGCTTTGTCTAACTGACTCAATAGGCAAACCAGATGTTACGAAGGCTGCCCGCAAAATTCCGTACCCTACTTTAGGCCAATTTAACTCAAATTTGATTTGATCCGTATAGGTACTATATACGCATAACCTAAATCTAGTCAGACTGCTCCCGAACTTCAGCCAACCTTGGTTGGTTGGCGGTCAGGGGAAGTTTTGAATGTGTGACACTGGGGCTTAAGAGAGGAAACAACTGGCCTTAGTCAGGCACATGACCACTCAAGTATGAAGCACAGGTCAGCCATGGAGGCCAAAACTCTTTCACCGCTGTTTGCGTTTTCTCTGACCCTTGCGGTCAGTTCCCCTCTCGGAGTCAATCTATACGACCTGTCAACAAAGTTTGGCACAACTCCTCTTTCAGAAGCAGTGGCGGTGAAATGGGTTACAGGCCGCAGTGACATGACATGCCACTGCTGCATACTGGTTTACTGGACTTGGATCCAGACTTGTAAGAATGTTTAGGTTCAAGTAAAAAAAAACCTCAAAGTCAAGAACCGAGTCCGGACTTATTACCATAAAAGAATGTTTCACATTACCCCTTTTCTTTCCAAATCACCTAAAACCTTCCATATTGCAAAATCTTTGCTGCAAAATGAAGAAAACATTGCCATCAGGCATCGTCAAGTACCGGCCTCCATGTTATGTGGCCAAAGTTTCACCCAGACAACATTGCAAGGTTGCCAACATGCAATTTTGTATATGCCATGGGTTCAGGTCCGGACTTACAAGTCCGGAACTGAACCTAAACCTCTGGACTTGAATCCGGGCCTGAACCTAAATGTGGGTTTAGGTATGCAGCACTACATGCCACCATGCTATCCTAGTGTTTGGAGAAAAGGATATGATACCAACATACCAGTAACAACATGGCATATCGTTGTCACTCACTCAGTAGTGAGAATCGGGTCAAAGAAGTTGGTTTTGTTGTTTAGAAGGTCATGTCAGTGTGGAATTTGACCGACCGACAAAACATTTAACAAACTACATTAATTTGTGTGTTTACTTTTTCTGAGGGGAGTTGTGTAAGTGACACTGAGTGTACTAGCCTTGAGTGTGATTATAGCTGTAATACTAGCTACATAATATATATTTTTGATGCGTCTAGACAAACCCTGTATCACAAACATGATCTGTTCCCACATTTTCCATTGTACACAAAAGCGAGAAGAAGTTGTATTAGCTCAATAAGTAGAACACTTTGTATTAGCCTCGTATAGTATCCTTGTATGTTCCTTATGTATGTATGTCTAAGTCAAGCAGTGTATCTTTTGTATACACTTTTCTACATATGTTTGTTATGTGTCTGTTAAGTCTTGACCTGTACCTAGCCCGTCTTGGCATGAATGTACAATAAAGTTATTTCACATATATGAGTGCCATACCATATTGTTTTGTTGCTTTAGTTAATTCTTGTCACAGAATTCATAATTTGACTCTTTTAAAAATTCAGGCATCTTGTATTTTCTGTCTACTAGTATCTTGTTTTATACATGTGCATGTTCTTGCATTACATTTAGGCTTCAAAACATGAACCTGTGACTATTTCTGAAACACAAAGAACTCACGCATATTTGCTGCTCTGGGTCAGGTAGAAGTCAACAATAGTGACCAGATCATCGTTGCTGAGCCGCTCCAGAGTTTCCCTCAGTCGTGTGTAACAGGGGATGACGTCATTGTTACTGGAACCTACATGTACAAGAAATCGGAACTTTCAGACTTCAACAAAATATGCAATCCTCTGCTTTCTGAATTCCCCCATGTCAACCCCTAAGGCCACACCAATTTAATTTCTTGGTTAACGGATTCGCCGCTTCATTTTTTTCTGATTTGCAAATAAAAATAAAAATTCAGAATCAACTGCAAAATGCTCATCTTTTGCCCTGAAAAGTTGAAAACAGTCCTTTACATCCTAGTTGTTACAGTTGTTCCATCTTTCAATGCAATGGTATCATTAAAAGTTCAAAATTCATTGTTTAAATTTTGAACCAGCCTGGTGTGTTGACTGTATGGCTCCTATCGTACCATTTTGGGCCATAATACGATGCCTAGGCCTGTTTTTATTTTTTTATTTTTTTCGCCCGCCCGCTCCATTATTTTTCTAGAAAAACCCAATAAACCAAGAAATTAAATTGATGTGACCTAATTCCTATTTTCTTCCAGACAGATTCTGGGACCTTCGCATTCACCCTAATTCCTGTGTCTGACCTTTTGACCTCCTGAGACCTCCTGTCAATCTTTCCCCCACCCACATGTTATCAACCTACTACTACTATATCTGTACAAACGGATACGATGTACACAAACCCACAGCTCAGCCACCCAAAACAAAACTTCCATATCCAGAAGTGATAATAATTATTGTATACTAAATATCCATGTAGTGTGAACATTTATATGCTTTGTTCTTTGATTAATTGATGCACATGTACACACATACCTGTCCTTGGTGCTGAATACCATCCGCACAAAGTTAAACCAGTTAATGTTACAGTTATATTGAATAATGAGATTAAGAGCAGCCAGGGCTAAACAAGAAATGCATCTTACACCAGGTTAGTGCAGGCATCATTGGTAGGATTGGGGTTGTGTAGGTATTTCTGATGTCTACCTGCACCTAACTTGCACTGGTCCTTGTACTGGGTATATGCAGGTTAGTGCAGGTAAAATTGGAGCTGTGCAGGTATTTCTGATGTCTACCTGCACCTAACCTGTACTGGTCCATGTACCGGGTATATGCAGGTTAGTGCAGGTAAAATTGGAGCTGTGCAGGTATTTCTGATGTCTACCTGCACCTAACCTGCACTGGTCCATGTACTGGGTATATGCAGGTTAGTGCAGGTAAAATTGGAGCTGTGCAGGTATTTCTGATGTCTATATACCTGCACCTAACCTGCACTGGTCCATGTACTGGGTACTAGTATATGCAGGTTAGTACAGGTAAAATTGGAGTTGTGCAGGTATTTCTGATGTCTACCTGCACCTAACCTGCACTGGTCCATGTACTGGGTATATGCAGGTTAGTGCAGGTAAAATTGGAGCTGTGCAGGTATTTCTGATGTCTACCTGCACCTAACCTGCACTGGTCCATGTACTGGGTATATGCAGGTTAGTGCAGGTAAAATTGGAGCTGTGCAGGTATTTCTGATGTCTACCTGCACCTAACCTGCACGTGGGCCATGTACTGGGTATATGCAGGTAAAATTGGAGCTGTGCAGGTATTTCTGATGTCTACCTGCACCTAACCTGTACTGGTCCATGTACTGGGTACATGCAGGTTAGTGCAGGTAAAATTGGAGCTGTGCAGGTATTTCTGATGTCTACCTGCACTGCATCATGTAGCCCTGTCTTCTTTGAATCATACCTATCCTTGGTTCTGAACACCATCTATACAAGTTTGAATGAAACCAGTGATGATAATAGTAAAGATAAGAATATATTCTATGAGTTCTTCACCTGCAGTTTCAACCATACCATACAAGATTTTAAGTTCACAATAAAATGTAAATCTTCTATAATAAGAGATTTTTTACCCCGTCGTTTGATGATGAGTTTCCTGAGACAGGTCAGGTCCTGTTGGATGGGTTTCCTCACATCAGTCAGGTTCAGCCGAGGTCCAGTGGGAACCTTGTGTTTGTGCTGTAAAATTATAATTGCATTAATTTACTTGATTACATGTAATGCAATGAAAATGAAATTGAACGCTTTCTCTTTCTGAGTCACATCTCAATATATTGTTATAATACTATCAAGTTGAACAACACAACATCAATATCTGAGTCTTTTTTTTTCTATTTCTTGTTCATGCTGTAAAATTATTGCATTAATTTACTTTTTTTACATGTAATGCAATAAATTTACATGCTTTCTCTTTCTTAGCTTTAACTTTAAATAAAATTATATTATAATACAATGTACTATCAACACAATATCAATATCAGAGTCTTTTCTCTTGAGTTTTTAAAAGAAGGTCTCTACAATCCAGTACTGGAGAGCATGGAAAGTCCATTGATATTGATTCTAGCAATTTGATTGGTGGAAAGTGATGATTAATTCTTCTATTTATACATTCTAACAATCTGATTGGTGGATAGTAACGATTCTGTTTGCAGATTCTCATTCTGATTGGTAGACAGAATATTCATTCTTTGATGTGTCTCAATAATCCACATGTGAGTCCAATATATACAAATGTATGTAACATCCTCAAAAAAGATAATAATATTTTTCAAGAAAAATCATGTATCATCCATTATACATGTGATTCCAGCAATCTGATTGGTTGACAGTGATGATTTAATTAGTAATATGTCAATCATCTACCTGTGAGACAGTGATGGCGTCCTGGTACAGTCCCTCTGGTCGTGGAGCAGGTTTAGCCTGACTCAGTCCTATCAGGTTAAACTCTGACTCCGCAGACGTGGACATCTCAGGAATTTCTGTGGGAGGAATTACGCATTTTGCATTCAGTTTCTTTCAAACTCCAACAACACTTGAGTATGTAATATGCATTATGACTTATTTGCCCTTAATTTGGATTATCAGTCATGCAATTTGCCTTATAACTTGTGAAATATATACATATAGTAACTATTCAGTGAGGGTCTGCAAGCCGTGATGTGCAGTGACATATCTTAATTTACAATTAATTGAAGTTTACCTGCTCAATTCAAATGTTTGATGTGCTTTTGGTGAACTATTCAGGAACCATATTGTTTTATTTTTATTACTTGGTAAATTCTAATTCTTTGTAGCCGGGCGTTACTTGTTATCTAAAATTTATCCTTAAGCATCATTGACAAAATTGCTAGCCTACCTGAATTTACCATTAAGCATTGCCTGTACCCACATTAAGAGCCACTTTGGTTTTATTAAGACGTTCTTGGAACCAATGTTAGCTTATATAGTTTGAAAACGCTATCACTTATCAGACTGAGTTTTCAGAAAGAGAATTGTTTTAGCATTGAGGTGCTGTGATCAAAAACTCTTTCTAACCCTTACCCATGTTCTCGGGTTCATTGACAAATCTCCCTCCTCTGCTGCCTTCATGTACGTCAAACCCTGGTTGGCTCTCAGTAGGTGAGGAGAATTTCTCTTTGATCAGCACACGGTGAGGAACCTCTCCATCTTTTTTGAAATACAGCTCCTGAAAAAAAATTTTAAAAAATAAAAAATCTGAAAAAGGAAGTCATATGTAATGAGAAATGTGAGATTTCAGATGTCTGGGAAGCATTTTTAAGTCTGCCCCAATTCCTGGGTCCAACCTGTCATTCTGCCTGTCAATCTTTCCCCACCCATGTGCTGTCAACCTATTCTGTCCAGACAAACAGACACACAAATCACAGCTTGGCCATCCAAGATACCCAAAAGTAGTAATAACTAACATTTACAAAAAAAATTTTCATACTGAAAATGTCTTTTCCCTGTGATCATTTCAAAATTTAAAAAAAGGGCTTCATCAAATTTGCACTATTTTGTTAACCATCAAAATGTTACAGCATCAGATCAGTTTTCATAACATGTACCGAAAGCTAATTAGAAACATGTCAGTAAGTATGTATAACAAGCTTAAGGTTGAAGCACCTGGTATCTTTCATAGCCTGGGTGCCATCCGATTTGTAACAAAATTTTTTTGGGTAGCCGTTACAAATCAGATAGCACCCAGGCTATATCTTTCAGGCAGTTACATCTACATTGTACTAAATTGCACAGTAAAACAAAGGGTTTAAGATACAGTAACACTACAATGTATGTCAGATGCTGACCTTGTGTAGTCGTGTGTCGCTCTTGTGCTGAAAGGCGGGATGACCTTCTCTCTGTTTGGTGAACTTGACACCTCCTTCGTGTGGTTCTGCACTGTACGTGGCCTGGTGGTCACCTGATGGAAACCAGACGTAACATTGCAAAATACAATTTTTTCACAACTGAAAATGCAGAACCTCATTCAACTGTCACCTACATTTGTACATGTAGCCTCCTTCACAGTCTTGTTGGGCGTCAGCGTTCACGAATCCTTCTCTCCGTGGCAAAACTCCCTCAGCAGCAAATCGTCCCTCGCGGCGACATATTACTCGCGTCACTCACAGAAAAAAATAACACCGATGCCTCCTTCAGTCTTGTTGGGCATCGGTGTTATTTTTTTCTGTGAGTGACGCGAGTAATATGCCGCCGCAAGGAACGATTTGCTGCTGAGGGAGTTTTTGCCACAGAGAGAAGGATTCGCGAATGCTGCCGCACAACAAGACTGCGAAGGAGGCTTACCTACATGATGGCCTAGCAGGTGGTCATTTCCTTGAGTTGTAATTGAATTTAGGCATTTTTAGTGAAACATTTGTGAAACGTGATTGGTCACATGTTATTTTCTATTATCGTTAAGCATTATGGACAATTTATTCTTTTAATTCTTATCAATAAATTGAATGCCAGCGCTTTGCCCAAAAAGGCAAAATTGCCAGACACCCCATGAGTATAATGGAACAATCCTGTCATTTTTTCCAAAACTTTTTACACAAACAAATTCATTCGTAGCGATGGGAAGATGACAGACTCGAGACGGATTTCTACCGGTTTCGACTTTAATTCAGTCTTTATCAAGAAACGCGTGGCATCTGCCGTGGATACGGCATCCTCCCAGATTGTGTGAGTAGACATCATTCGTAGCGATGGGAAGATGACAGACTCGAGACGGATTTCTACCGGTTTCGACTTTAATTCAGTCTTTATCAAGAAACACAAACAAATTTACCGTTAACTGTTGCTACACTCCTTTAAACCATCACAAATTATCAGCCCTCCTAAATTCTGAGCATTATGCATCCCAGGAACCCCATGTAGGCCCTCCTCCATATAAACATCTCCAGATGGATGCACATTTTCAGAAGACTGGTCTTTAGAAATAAAAGCCTCCTGAAACAAATTCGTCCTTCTGGTGGATAAATGAAGCTCACAGTAATAAACAGGCCACTATCATGCTTGGTACAAACCATATTCGTGGATTTATGAAGCCAGAAAGTAGAAAAAAAGACACAGAATGCAGCGCAGGTCTCGTGAAACTGAAACTCTTCCACTAGTTGATGCACTCATAAATGTAGGGGGTCTTCAAATATCAGCGCGCGCCAAATTCATAAAATATGAAAGGAAGCTGTTTGTACTTTTAACTTATTCTTTTATTTAATTCCAATTTTATCAGTGAAAGTGGTGTAGTTATTGCGTTAATACAGAACTACGAGTGTGCACGTTTGTGTTCTTCGCGTTTGGATGCTACTCTCATGGGATGTCCCAGGGCATCCCTAAATCACTTCATCCCTGTCGACCAATCAGATCGCTGGAATTGTTAACAGCCTCTCCTTACTTTTTAAATAATTCTACAAAAAGGCTAGACGTTTTGTGACAGCATTTTTGTTTCTTTTACACTTTTGTGCGCATGTTTACATTTCTTGTAACGTTTTCTATGCGCTAAGTGAGATTAGTGACACAAGTCAGCTTTCTGAAAAGGATTGTCTAATTTATTCTTTATTCGTTCCAAATAGAACGTTACCGTCGCTCACAATCAAGCCTATTCAAAGCGACCTCTAGAACGTCTACACTGACACAGAATCAAGTGAGCGTTTTGCCGGGTTATTTTTATCCTACTTGCCCTTGACTAAGCTTTTAAACAGAACATTCCCGTGGGAATAAAAGAATAACAAAGAAACTAAAACAAAGTTTCACACGCCCACGGTTCGAGTATTTTTAGTTGTTTGGCGACTGCCCCGTTATTGCGAGAAAAGAGGTATGGTATGCCTTGCAATTTTGCTGAGTTCACTAGGAGGTTAAAAAGAAGTCAAGGACTACAAAGAAGGGTTATGCTTAAAGGAGCTCAACTCCTTCGAGTCTAAAGAGGCAGAATACCGTAAGGATTGGTTCTATCTGGAAGAAACCACCGTGGACTATGTTGTTTGACTTAAGACGGTTGTTTGGGAAGGGACGGACAGATTCAGGGCAGGCTTGGTCATGCAAAGGCGGGAAAAAACAGACGACAGCGGCGTTGCCATGGCAGCGTGACGTAAACAGAAGGATCTGGAAGGAGCCAGTCTTGGCCAGCTTTCGTGACTACTGAGGTGCGGACGGTTCAAAAGTCGAGCAGCCAATGACAGCGTCGTTGCTATGGAAACGACGATGACGTCAATGGGTGAAAGCTGAGAAGCTCATGCAAAGACTGTCAATCAATTTGAAGATGTTACTCAACTCAAGGACAGAGTACGTAAACGACTTTTTCTTGGTAAACTCTTAGAATACACGGGCCTCTTTTATAAAGTACTGCTGAAAGAACAGACTACAAGAAATACGTCAGAATGAAAAATATGTTTTTACGTAACTCTACCGAATTAAGTGGCCATCCTGTCTCCATCTTACCTGATATTTAACTACTTAACGAACGTACCAATGAAAGAACAGAACGTACCTTCATGCCCCGTCTCATTGGTGACATAAGACCAACGGTCTTCATTCGCCTTTCCCACCTGCAAAACAAACGTTTAAAAACATCACATTACGTAAACTCACAACCTTAACCCTTAACACGCTGAGTACCCGTGTGGCTACCAATTCTCTATTGGTTACGGGGATAGGAAGCACTGAGGGGGTTAAAGATAAAGTTAAATTTGCCGAAAGGATTACACATAAAAGGTCAAGCGGAACGTTTAAAACACGGACTAGTCAACCATTGACCCATCAAAACGTTTACTGGTATAGAGCTGGACTTCTGGAGGATATTCTTCTTATCTTCGTGATAGGAGTCAAGTCACGGTTTGGGGCACTTTTGGTGGACTAGAAGTAAACTAAGGCCTAACTATACTCTCCAAGCCGAGTTTAGGCTTGTTTTGGGACGTTTTAAGGCGTTTTGGTCGGGGTTTTTTTCGGACTATTTTGCCACAGTTTTACATACACCCTATGTTCTAAATGAAGGAGAAATTCAGTACAAACGGAAAACATGCCGATTTTTCCATCTAACGTTGTAAAGTTTTTAGTTGCTTGGATGTTGTGTTGCATATTCGTTTCTCCAGCATTTAACAACGCACTCATATGTGATGTCGTTGTTTTGTCTGATAACATTTTGGTAGACTAATTTTATGGCCGCGCTATGCATTTTATTTGTCATACGTAGTTCTACGATTTAGTTGTTGTGTTGAGATTTTCAAGCACTAAAACGATTGACAATCTAAGACAGACTTTTCCGTAACAAGACAGCCATAAGTTTACGACAAATACACGACTAACAATACAATCCAATCGTACGACAATTGTACGACGGATATGACCAGGCCCTTATCTCTATTTACTACATGTAGTGTGTTTACCTCGTGGTTGTGGTGCAGTTTACCCGCAAAGAAGCTGACTAGTCCCTTCTTGATGTTGACAACTTCAGCTTTTTCCTTCGGCGGGTACCAAACGTTATAAATCTCCCCACGGCCGGAAATCTCAAAAGAGAACCTGAAATTAATAGGAAAAGGTGATTAATTAAGTAAATTTACGCCATGTTCTACGGAAAGTTTTTTTTATTATTTGCAATGAATGCAACCGAGTCCATTTTCTTACTAAGGTATTTAGTTTGTTTTCGTTTGAAATAGAATTTTTCCTGATCATTCGAGTAACAACGTTCATTGTTCATATGATTAACAAACAAGTAAACAAATAAACAAATGGTAACCTCTAGGAAATGGTTCGCCCAAGTTTGAAAGATCTTTCCTTTAAAAGTACGTCATTTGAGGTAGGAACTACAGCTTAAGTACATGAATAACGTTAGGAATAGGACATTTCTCATTTCCTTGAACGAATAATGTCTTTCTTTTGTTTCATCTTATTTTGGTGTAAGATTCACGAATACCAATCTATTATTTCAACCTTAGCCAAGTATTTATTTTGACAAATACGTACGAGAAGGTTACCTACCATTTTTTCTTATTCCAACATCTAATCACAAGACGTGGTGACGGCACACTCAAGTTTTTTCAACTTATATTAATGCCGCCACCAACACAGGGGACAATACAATACTCATTTTCACCTGAGCGAAGTGAGGAAAGTCGTGTAAAGTGCCTTTCCCAAGGGCACAAGATCGGTGGCATGTGAGGACTCGAACTCGGGACTTCTTGATTCCGAGCCGAGCACTCTGCCGCTACGCCACACGACCTCACTGCGACAGAATAAAGAATACCTACCATTGAGAGAAGTCATATTGCTCCGTAGCAGCGCCTGAGATGGACGTGGAAAGAAAATGTGAAAATTATCACTTTGCATAAATCCATTATTAAGATGTAATTATATTCTTTACCAACTCGTATATATGGCAGTCTTTTTGTCGTATGTATGGTAGCCATGGCAAAGATTCAGTGTGGCTGTTGGATTTGTTGGATTTTAATGACGAAGTTGCTTCTTAATTAGACAAATTCTTACGACGTGAGCGACGTGTGTTGGCAAAAAAAAGTGGCTTGCTATAGAATGCTTTGTGCGCATTTAAACAACGTAGCTAGAAAAACGCCTTTCCCGCCTTAACAAAGCGCGGTACCTTCTTATGTGCTTAAAAAGTCGACATTTTATTTTTAGGTTTACAGCTCAATGTTATAGAAAACCTTCTCTAATTCTATAGAGTAAGGAATTCGTCTTGCCCTTATGGCAGGTCAGATTTGGCATAGGCCGCGCCGGTCGCCGTACGATATTTTCGAAGGCCTAAAGCTCCAAGCTATTTCCAGGAAAATTCTGTCTTCGTTCATTTTGTTACACACCTCTGTTGTTAACATGTTGCCAGGTGAGACTGTGCACCTTAAGAAGACACTCCTGTCCCTTATCTGTGTCCTTCAGGTGTTGGAAGCTCACCTGTGGTAAACATGTATAGAACGTCACTCAGTTAAGGTTGCTAAAAGAACATCTGGAGGTATACTATACAGGGCTCACTGCACAAAAGACACTTATAATACACACAAGAAATCTATACTGGCGAAGTTTTAATACCACCAAAACCAACCACTATTCGTACCAGATTTAGGCCTCTTTTAAGCCCTGGTCACAACCCGCCGTACGTGCTTTTTGTCCGTACGTTTTTGGGAGGCTACGTCTGCTACGTTTTTTTCTGAAAACGTGGGGAAGGAGTGGCGTCGACGCACGTCACTCGCACGGTTGCGCAAAGTGTAAGAGTGTGGTCTGCACGCCACGTCTGGCCGTGGGCGGTTGCGTGCATCGTTCGTTGCGCAAGTGGTAAGTGAGTTGTACGTGCTTACAACGTACGATCTCTGTGCGATTGCAACTTTACCGTAAGGAGGTCGTACTCACACGTGCTTCTTACATACGGTACGTACGGGGCACGCGCGTCGCCCGTACTCGCAGGCACGGGTGGTGAATCCGCTGACCGCACGTAGAAAAAGTTCTAGTAGGATTCCGTACGGAGGCGGTACTCATCACGCACGGATGCCCTACGTTTGCCCACTTTTTTGCACGTAGACAGAACGCAGAAGCACGTACGGCGGGTTGTGACCAAGGCTTTAATAGTCATTGTCAAATCCCACTTTTAGTGCATTTTATTTAGCTTTCAAGTACCTGAGCTCCAAGGTTGAACGGATCCTCCACGTTTGACAGTTTTGACTCCGTCTCGATCTTGTACTTGTACTCCACGCCATCCTTGAAGTTCAGGAACGTCGCTGTGCAGAAGCCCGGCAGCAGCAGCAGAACTAGCGGGAACACCAGGTGTAGAAACACCGGCTCCTTCAACCCACTCATTCCCGGCCTTCTTCGTAAGGTGTGTCCCTGGTTTCAATAGAAAGTTTTTTAATTAAATATTCCAACATGTAATCACAAGACGTGGTGACGACACACACTTAAGTTTTTTCAACTTATGTTAATGCCGCCACCAAAACAGATGACAATACAATATTCATTTTCACTTGAGTTAAGTGAGGAAAGTCGTGTAAAGTGCCTTTCCCGAGGGCACAAGATCGGTGGCATGTCAGGATTCGAACCCGGGACCTCTACGTTCCGAGTCGAGCACTCTGCCGCTCCGCCCCACGACCCCACTCAAAGGAAAGTACTTTTAAGTTACAGTTAAAGTCCTTCCCGCACCACGCGGTGCATAGGACGGCGTCCATCTCCGGTTCAGTAGGCCTTGGGCCACACAATTCTGCAATCTCTACAAGATGATGCGTTCTTTGTCTGAAAGTCATTTGGTATAAGGGAATTTTACAAAATATACGAAAACCCCCTTAATTCCGCAATGGCCCCAACACAACCTACTTGAGTAATCTCCTTACCACTAATGAATAACTAGAACTAGTGTGCGATACAAACAATTGTTTTCCGTCAGCGAGATCGCATTTTTGCCTCACAATTATCATTGGCTATATGGTATAGGATTGATTCAACTTTCCACACATAAAATCCCCCAGAAAGTCACTTTGAAAATTCAGTTTTACCGCCCTGAAATCGCTTTGGGTGACATCTTCACGTACTCGAGCTTTCATTACAAATTTAAGCGTCACTTTTGTTTATAATTGGACTTAAGGGATGAAGACCAGACAGAAAGCCATCTTTTTACCCTGATCAGTGCATGTCTTCCTCAATGGCCCCTATTTGAACACTGGAGTCACCGACTTAACTGCCTTTCCCTATAGCGTATGCGTGAAAGGGTTTGCTTTGTTCTGGCGTTACCCCTCCACTGCTCCATGTTTAAAGCGTGCACTCACACCAGGCCCCACACACTACACTTTCCTTCCCTACACAAAATCTACATTATAAAAATACAGGTTAAAGACATCCGGCGGAATTTCAGGGAAGAAAAAAAAGATTTTCTTGTCATTCTTTTAACGTAATATTAAAGTTGGATCAACCCTATCCCATAGCATACTGATATTTTTGAAGCAAAAATGCGATGTCGGTGAGGGAAAACGGTTGCTTGTTTCGTATCGTAAGCTGGTTGTAGCTATTTCTTGGTGGTACCCAAAAAGTAAAGAGACTAACTCCTCACGTAGCCCGTTTTTGGGGTAATGTCACGCACTTCCAGTATGAAATGTTGACAAAAAAATATGCTAAAATATGTCAGACTGATTTTCCCATCCTTTTCTTTTTTTTGTTTGCCGCACTGAAAATGCTTTAGATACCTTTAACATGAAGCTGAGTACATATTAAACACCCCTTACTTCCCTTCTTGTTGTATAAAGCATTTAAATTTGACTTACCAGACGAAGAAATACCAGTAGTGGGGCCAGCGGCGCACTGCGCTATCCGTGAAGCTCTCTCCAACTCCTCGAGTGTTCGCCTTTGAAAGGTTTGGAATGTTGGGTCCAAGCATGTCAAACGCCGTGCACATCTCTGTTTGCTCTAGGACCTCGACCGCATCTTCTTAGCCCAGGTGAGCTTCTCAGATGACAAAAGTCGCTGTCCCAGGGGTCACTGGGTTATGTAATGGTGATGTCACTATAACTGAAGCCCCTGTCACACACAGCCGAGTACGGCCTCCCGAATACTTGCCGAACTCCCCCCAACCATGGTTGGGAGTAGGTCGGGAGCAAGGTCGGCTGGTGTTCGGCCAGGTCGGCTACTGTTCGTATATGTTTTGATAAAACATTCGGGTGTTGACGGAAGGTTTAAACATAGTTTTCTGTTGGTTGGCTGATGTTCGGGAGTAGATCGCAGCACGGTTGGTAGTGGAATTTGACACAAATTTAACTCAAATTCGATCGGATTCGTATAGAAAAGTATGCGTGGCCTAAATCTGGTCAGACTGTTCCCAATGGTCGGCTGGTGTGCGGGGGGAAGGTTCTGAATGTGTGACGGGCCTAACTCTTGTAGTTGGTTTGAACATGGAGGTAGAAACCTCCATGGTTTGAAAGGTGTTTTTCTTAAAAAGGTAACGTTGCATAAGATCGATCTTTATATCCATTGACAACAGGGTTTGGCATAAGGATGAGGGATTTGCTAGCCTCGTTCACTTGCCATTTGTAAGCGTTTGTGGAAGACTCTGAAGGCTAGCCGCACATGTCTGAGACTCTAGGCTAGCTGCCTTCCTTTCAGCGACCTCATGCACCAATGAGAAGGCGCAGCGAGGACGAATCACAGAGCACCAACAAATAAGATTCGGGATTACTCCCATCGACTAAACCGAAGACTATCACGGCACATGAATCTATCCAAACCTCACTATAACAACTTTTCTAAACACTAGGTCAACTGTACTTGGGAAATAAAGGTAGGCTGGAGAGTACTTGTTCTAGCCCATTGTGTTGTTTTTGATTGGTGGCAGTTCCCTAGCTTAGCGGTCATGGTCAGCCGACCGTAAGACCTTTATCCACAAAGCTGCGTACACGCAAAGAGAACCGCAATGGCAGGTCGAAGCTAAAACTTTGGTCACATACATGTACAACGGGCGATGCGCCAAGATGGTCTGGTCGTGTGGCGCAGTTGGTAGCGTGTTGTACATGTGCGTATGAACGGCCGAGGTTTTTTTTTTATTACGTATCTTTAACTATTATTACGGTAAGCACACTTACACATAACAGTCCACCATTTGGTCATATTTAATATATATATGATAGAGTATACATATATAGATTTTCAAAATATAGACGCATTCGCGAGGCCCAAGAGATTTAGATGCCAGATTCTTGCTACCAACAAGCATCGAGAAATGGTTAGTGCCACGATACGCATGGACCAGAAGCGACTTCTGTCAATCACTGTCAGAACTGCAACATGACGTCCAATCTCACAAAGCACACGGCTTTTATCTTCAAGGCTGAATGTATATTATATAAATATCATTTACAGACGTCGACTAAACCCAATCATCTTTACATACACAAAACTAGTTATGTTTTCTTTTACATCATTCCCTTTTTTTCCTACATTTGTTTCTAACATCCATATCAGACTCGTGGGACACAACCAGACACATTGTACCTAATGCGACGTTTTGGTCATCATCGACAACAATGGGCACACAATAAACATTATATGCGATTTTGAGACCATTCTGCTGAGTTACACTTAGTAAAAGGTAGCTGGTTGTAGAAAGACCCCAACAAGTTGAACAGGGTCTTTCCCTAAAGCTAATCAATCAATCTATCAATCAACCAACCAATATATACACCAATCAACACTCAATGTGGTTAATAAATTTTCTGGCAGAGTAAAACCTTATATATTTTCTAGCTGTACATGTGTAAAACTTTATACATTTTCTAGTCTAGCGGTCAATGAGTTTCAGGTCGACAGACTTTTCGGGGACCAGCAAAGCTCTGACTTTGCCGACAAGTTCTTCTGGTTTCTCCTGCTCCAGCTTGAAATTCTGGCAAATCTGGCAAATCAAAAGAAAAACATGTAAGTGTGAAGTTCTGCATATCTTTATCTAAAATGTAGACATAGAGTGACAGCAGCTGTAGATCTCAAAATACCCAAAGCTGCAAAGTTCTTCTCTGTCATGTATCTGGACCACTCCTTGAGGTGTAGCCAAAAATTAATTCCCTTGGGAAGGAATTCATGGAGTCTCTGACACAGGTGAAATTTTACAAACATTTTCAAACCAAGCACAATGCTATAAAGCTTCGCCCCAGAGGTGTTGCCAAAAATACCAACCCTTATGAGAGCCAGGTGCATCTCCGTTTCTGCAATTCGACGGCCTGGATGTGTGAAAGAGAAAATCTATTACAATGCATCAGTATTTCAAACACTCAGATACATGTCAGATATTACCTCTGAAAATTACACATTAATACAAATCTTACACCTTTTTTTTGAAGGCTTGCATAATATGAAAAACTGAAAGTACAGGTACATCCAAAGATGTGATATGATGACAACATGGCTCATCGACTGTTACTTAGAAAAACACAAAAAGATTATAAAGCTGATGACCAACCGACACAGCTTCTTGGCCCAAAGCCAAAGGGGAGCCAGGCGAAGGCTTTCAGGTTTTTGCTGTTCTCTCTGTACCATCTCTCAGGGTGAAACTCTTCCGGGTTGTCAAAGTTCTTAGGATCCCTCCCCATCACATATGGACAGATCTGGAAAGTGCAAGGTATCAAATGATTTCAGCATAAAATATTTTAAATTATGTGAATTTCCTATTTTATTTGCTATTTTAGATTTCTTGCTGATTCACACTGTGTCTATTAGCACACATTTTGTCACTGGCCCCTATAAAAAGCTATAAGGCAGATGTATACATAGCAGGAAATTGGAAACAGGAAACCAGATAACCTTTTCTGGGACCTATGACCTAATTTCCTGCAAAGTGGAAATAACTGCAAAAAGACAAGCAAACAATTTGAAACATTGAAACAAATGATGTGTCATAGGCCATTACTAATTACTGCATCTAAATTCATGATACATAGTGTTCAAGAAATTAAAGTGGAATGAGGTATTTCTTACGATTATAGTTTTTCCAGCAGGAATCTTGTATCCACACACCACAGCATCATGGTTCAGGACTCGACTGTTGATGTAGGTCACTGGGTATAACCTATGTATGGCAGAGGAATAAGTACTTAGCTATAGGCATAGGAGTGATGCCACATCCTATTTTGCCTATCAAGCCAGTGCCACTACAAGACTGCCATAACCTAGGTGCCACCAGGGGGCAGAAGGAATAGAGGTCGGCCAAAGAACACCTGGCGAAGAACCTTCCAGGAGGACCTCAAGAGGGCCAACATTGCCTGGGAAGAGGCTGAGGAGGCAGCAGCTACTCGACCCAGATGGAAATTTGCTGCCCAATGTGCCTGTTAAGGCACAGGAGGAACTAAGGTCTAAAGGTAAGGTCTCCACAAAACCAGACTGTAAGGTTGGATCCATGAACACCAGGATCGACCCCCTTAACATTAATGTAAATGATTTATATTGAAAGTGACCGTGAAAACCTTTCGACCTGTCATTCTGCCTGTCAATCTTCCTCACCCACATGCTGTCAACCTTTTCAGTCCGGACACATGCACACAAACACACACACACCAAAAACAATACTTCTGTACCTGCAAGTAAGCATACTAACCGAAGCACCTCCTTGATGACCCCCCTAAGGTAAGGCATCTTGTGGACCTGCTCCTGTGTAACGGGCGCCTGATGATCAGGAGCAAACCTTACCACCTCATCATGCAGTTTCTCCTGGATGTTAGGGTGTCTTGCCAAGGTGTGCAAGGTGAAGCACATGGTATTGGATGTCTGAAAAAATACACGCATGAACTTTATTTTAAAAAATCGTCAAAATTCGAAGTATGGAATCCTAGACTTCCAGAATTCCTCCTGTTGGATTCCAGATAGATTCTGAGAGTTTTGACCTCCTGTTATGCTGCCTGTCAATCTTCCCACCCATGTGCTGTAAATCTACTCTGTTCAGACAAGGGATAAAATCTCGAATTTTGTCACCCTGAACAATACTTCCATACCTGGAAGTATTCAAAAGAAGTCTGAATAACAGGAAAGGTTAACTGAGACTGTAAAAACACATACTACTCAGAAATCCTATCATGCTGCCTGTCAATCTCTCCCCCCGTGTGCTGTCAACCTACATGTAATGTTACTTACTGTATCAACAGCTGCACCTAGCACATCAACAATGTTTGCCAGAACCTCCTCTGGGCTGAGTTTGACTGACAGGAGATAGGAGACAAGGTCGGGCATTTCTTCTTCTTCTTCCTTTCTCTCCATCTCTCTCTCCATGATCTCTTGAATGAGTTGCTTGGCTTGAGGAGAATTTTAAAAGACGTTGTGAGGTTACTCAGGTTATGACAAAGAAAGTCATCTTATGCTTACATGGACACTCGATTGCAAAGATTCTTAACTTAATAAGGCAATCAGAGATGGCAGACTTCACCCCCTCATGCATACTGCTAGGAAACCAGTCCTACAGTCAGGGAATAGAAGGCCTTACTCGTTTCATTCAATGCCACATTGTATTCAACACAAACATATGCACATCCCTGACACCCCATACACAAACACGCGCACACACACACACACACACACACACACACATGCGCGCACACACAAACACACGCACACACATGCACACACATGCACGCACATGCACACACATACACATGCACACACACACACACACACACATGCACACACACACACACACACACACACACATACACACACACACATTTGTTTGGACACACGAAAAATACAATTGTGTTCTCAAGTTCGTTTTCAAGAAGGCTTAAAATTGGTAACATTTAAAATTAATGCAAGCATAACATATATTGCAAGCAATTTCTATATAATAATATAAGCCTCAGAATACCAAGCAGAATTGTGAGAAGGTAAATACATACTGATTTCAAAGCAGGTTTGCCATCCTTCAAGATGGTCTCTCCAGGCCTTGGTGTTCAGGGCTTTGTGGACTTTGGGAGGAAAAGTCATCATAGCATTGGTTGTGTCCAGAATTTTGATTATAGAAGAGATGAAATCCTTGGCTAGCTGTGGGGGATTCTCACTCAGTAGCCCAAGGTGTTGGTTAAACATGGCTGTGCTGCCAGCTTGACAGAAAAAAAAACAACAAGAAATCAGAGATTTTTTTCTTAATTCTGGGAAGTGTTTTTGGTTACTATTTTTGTGTGAATGATGAACTATATTTCTGTGAATGATATTACATCATGGAATAGATTCTTGCTCATGTGATTGTATGATGTAACACAATCTTGTATTACACCATGGTTTATGTTTCGTACTATGGTACACTAAACATTCCTGGCAACCACCTGTTACATCCTACCAGCCAGGGCATACCTGGTCGCAACCCTGTCAATCAACTGAAACTTAATGGAACACGACTTAAATACAGTGCAATTTGATTCATTAACACTAAGCAAAGTGTTTTACAGGACAATAGTATAGTATTACATAGCAATTTCATGCAATCTATACTTAAAAAGTATACTTAAATGTGCAAATATAACATTATTTTGCACTCTATTTGGTAAAATGGTACTGTCGTATATGTACATATATATTCAAAAGTGTTTGGTATTATAAAAATAAGTTTATTTAGCAGACAGTAATTGTTAAAAGCACCCAAGTTAATGACTTAATAGCCAATACCTACATTCCATGGACCAGCGGAAAAGATGTCCCTGAAAGTCCGTCACCCTCCCCCCCTGGTCCCTCTTCCTCCGTAGGTACGACACCAAGTTACAGGCGGCTTCGTCCATCAGGGGGGTGAAGACTGCCGCCTGCTGAGGACGCAGCAGCTTCTTGTTCAGTAAAGTCCTGTAGTGCTGCCATGTCTCATCATTCCTGCAGTAAAAATATATATACGATTACTATATAACCAGTGTGTACCCCTTGCTAGAATGCAGTCAGGTATTTTTGCACCCAGGGGTATGTTTTGGCTTGTTACACTGGGATGAAAGTTGGCAAATTAATTATATTCCTGTAGTGCTGCCATGTCTCATCATTCCTGCAGGAAATAATGTACAGAACCAGTGTAACATGCAAGAATGGTCCCCTGGCCAGAATGTAGTCAGGTAGTCTTCTGCCCAGGGGTATGTTTTGGCTTGCTACACTGGGATGAAAGATGGTAACTGTCCAGGACCTGTATATTGTACTGTAATTTCTCATCATTCCAGCAGTAATAATGTATTAGACATAACCTGTGTAACATGCCAGAATGTAAGTCTGACCAGAATGTAACATTTACCCATTTACAAACATTTCTGGCCCGCTAGTACCTGGGATGAAAATCTTTCTGTGTTGGTACATGAATGTTTAATATTAGTATTGCCATTTCTAATCATGACTTGGGACTGTAACAAGCCAGATTGTACCCGCAGTCACAATGTACCTGGATATATTTTGGCCAGGGGTATATTTTGGCCAGGGGTAACAACAGTTACATGTATTTTGGCCTGCTACTGTGACTACACTGGGATACCCTGGATGCCAAACTCGCTGTCCGGGCCGCAAAAGCCCTTCGCCCGCTGGTGTAAATTACTGCTACGGGGGAGTCTAGCCCGGGGGGAGTTTGGCTGGCCGGACAAACTAGGGCCAGCCAACTCCCATCGGGCTCAACTCCCCCGTAGCGGTAATTTAGGCAGGCGGGCGAAGGGCTCTCGGCTGCCGAAGGAAAACAGCTAACGGCCCGATACTAGTTTGGCATCCAGGGTAACACTGGGATGGAAATTTCAAGGTTCCTGTCATCAAAAATTACAGAAGAGTGTTCAGAAAACATAATTGTAACAGTGCTAACTGACCATGCTAAACGGTCGTGCGACCTTTTAGTGTAATGGTTAGCGTTGGTGACCGCCAAGCGGACAACTCGGGTTCGATTCCCGGTTGTGACATGCTCGCCCCTTTCGGTTTTTACAGTGGTTCCCATGCCGGCCCTGTGAGTACTGGCACTGAGGATAAGTGTGGCAGCTCCAGGGATGTCGGACTCGGAAGATTCGAGGACGAATCTTGAAAGAAAAGGGGGAGTAGTGTGACAGTGCTAACTGACCATGCTAAACGGTCGTGCGACCTTTTAGTGTAATGGTTAGCGTTGGTGACCGCCAAGCGGACAACTCGGGTTCGATTCCCGGTTGTGACATGCTCGCCCCTTTCGGTTTTTACAGTTTCGGTTTTTACATAATCATGAGAGCATTACTGAACTTACTCGAGGAAGACACCCAACTTCTTGTCCATGATCTCCCTGGCCATAATGAAGCTTTCGAAGGCATATCTCCGAGGGTAGCGACCTTCTGCTCGGAGCACAGCTGCCACATCATCAGGGTCTGCGATAGTAACCCACGTCTGAGGACCAATAGTCTCCTTGAAGATGGAACCATACTGGCGCCAACGGTTCTGTGAAAACAAAAATTAGGCTTCAGTGCGTGTGAATACTTCACTGTTATAATAATTGCATTTATGTAATATATATGTGCACATGTTAGTGGTGTGTGTGTGTGTGTTTGAAGTAAAGGTGCAAAGTAGGGCCTCATTTGCATAATTTATGAGAAAATGCTCCACTGGCTTTCTTTGCCAAGACAGGACTTCCATTGGTGCATAATATTAATAATATATGATATCTCAATGAATTTATGCAAATAAAGAGCTTAGTTAGTACATAATTTATGAGTAACTTTAGCATAGCTCCTATAGCTAAATGATGGTTTACTTCATATTTCATGAAAAATGAAAGATAGATAATTGACCATGCATAAATTATGCAAATTAGGCATTACTCTTACTTGTTGACCACGGTATGAGATCGTGGAACTCTAGCCTACCTGACTATGTATGTGTAACTTGTCCATCCAGCCTCCCAACGCCGCATGTAGAGCTGTCCCCACAAACGGCAGGCCTTTTGGGCCGGGGATAGCCTCGAAAGGCTTTGCCGTGGCTCCTTCCTTCTCCTCGCCGTGTTCCACCTGGCCTGACACCGTAGACTTCCACCGAGAAGCGCGGAGACCGAGGCTAGAGTGTCTAGAGTAGAGTAGAGTAGAACCTGGCGACGACAAACACTTGGCCAGCCGAAATGTCATTTTTGTGTACTTCTACATTAGTTCTTGCAAAAAGCCTGTCAACGCAAAATAAGTCTTCAGTGCTTCTTATAATCAACAAAGTGTACTTAAACGCTGTGCATCTCCTAGATGACGAGTACCTTGACGTTATCTTTCAACGTTGACGTTGACTTCCGGATACAAACATGGTTGAACTTGTTGACAAGTCAGTCTCGTTGTCCGACAGGACGTTGACCTTCATGACCTTTGTAGGGGCTACATGTATAAACTCCGCAGAGAAGGGATCTACCCATTTCAGGTGTCCGCGCAATACGAATCACAGGCAACACAATAAAATTATCCAATATTGTCTAAGTTCTGGGTGGGCATTATTAACGTTGATCAGAAATTCCTTTATTAATAGATAATACATCAATTGAAAGTAAAAATTGGGAAGATCTGAGTTGGTCTACTCAGATCTTAATTCTCCTTCCCCCACTCAAGGTCCTACTTTATTATTTTATGGAGATCGCAAAATTTACCACGTAGTCGCATTTTCTTAAAACAAAATTTCGTAACGCAACTTAGTTTTTATTGAAACTACAGTAGTATGAATATGCATTTTTTTCTGCGAATAGTGCTACGTGTCAGACGTGTGTAAGACGTGACATAACAAAATTAGTCTGATAAATCCCTATAAATTCATTGGTTTTAACTTAAGTGGACTTTATTTCTCCTAGTTTCGACCGTACGGAGTCGAGAGCGCTTGACGTTTATACCTTAAGAAATAGGCTTGAATGGACAGTTGACGAAGAAAAGGTACTGTGACTTAAAAAAAAAACTCAAGAGACTGATCTGAGGCTCCTGACATCAACAGCTAGACGTCGGTCCCTTGCCGGGTTCTAGTGAGGACGTCCAACACCCTGCCCACTCAACGCTTTGGATAGCTTCAACACTTTGAGGTAACAAAGTCTGTTTATTTCTTGTGGGGTCGTAGAAACTAGAATCAAGAATCAGAACCAAGCGGTACCGGGTTCGAACCCTGCCGTGCCACCGATCTTGTGTCCTTGCATGGAGGTTTTTTTCTACCTCCATGGTCCTTTGAAAAGGCGCTTCACACTAATTCCCCCACTTTACCTCCAGGTAACAAAGTCTGTTTTCTTTTTTGCGCTCGCCTATCTGAACTTTGTGGGGCGGTAGAGTAGATGTGCGCCAGGCAGAATCAAGAGGTCCCGGGTTCGAACCCTGCCGTGCCACCGATCTTGTGCCTTTAGAAAAGGCACTTCACACTAATTCCCCCACTTTACCTCCAGGTAACAAAGTCTGTTTCTTTCTTGCGCTCGCCTATCCGAACTTTGTGGGGTCGTATATATAGAGTAGAATCAAGAATAAGAACCAAGAGGTCCTGGGTTTGAACCCTGCCGTGCCACCGATCTTGTGCCCTTGGAAAAGGCATTTTACGCGTATTCCCCAACTTAACTCAGGTGAAAATGAGTATGTCTGTTATATTTCAAATAACTGAAATACAATATAAATACTATAGTGCTACCAAGAAAAATATATTCGTTGGTTAAGGCAACGGAGAGTTTAATTTTAATATTCAAATATGAAGCTTCGAACTATAAAGACAAACTGGTGTTAAAATCCTATAATAATACTTGACAATACAATACAGTGCAACAGTGACATTCAGATTCTAATGGCACAATTTTCGTAATGTCTAGAATCATACTCTGTCAATTTTACTGCAGGTATTATCAAAGCGTACTGACTGTAGCCCTGAAAATCTGTAAACCATTTTTATTCATCGTTGCAAATGTTAATATTTAAATAGTGAGCCTCAGACAATTAGCAGAACCATATATGTAAGGGTGACCTCCATTTTTTTTTTTGGTTACACTACAAAGCAAGGAACAGCGGCCTTAACCCCTGACCTTACCCACAATCCCCAACACTGTGAAGGTGACTTTTTCATAGTCTCCACCAGACTCCTTTGCAGGCGGAATAAATTGTAGAAATCGGCTAAGGGGAACATCATTGGCCAGAGGTGTTGGCCGGCCATAGAGGGTCCAGCTTGCCTGCCGGAGTCTGTGACAAGTCGCTACGATTTCTACTATTTATTCAGCCTGCAAAGGAGTCTGGTGGAGAGTAACTTTTTCATGGTTTTGAAGCGGCATTTTCTATTGAACATGTTTATTCTGGATGTGCCGGGGTCTTGAATTTTATAGTGGCAAACAACATTTGATATCATGGAAAAGTGGCACGACGAAAGTTATACTGCTAGAAACAGGTAGATTTTACAATTTTCTAATAAATCATACCTATTTTGCATAATTTGCATCATTGTGTACATCATCCCTGCCTAAACTGCATACATGTCCTCAATCATAAAATCCACCATTTCTTCGGTTTTCCTCTGAAAGTTTTTAACAAAAAAGCTGTCTACCGCCAAGAAAATTAACACCAAAGCATATCCGGACAAACCTTGCAAAAAGGCCGCTGCAATACCACGAGTAGCCTCCAGGTGGCCAAAATGTTTTATTTTGCAATTTTTGAATCAGAGCAGAACATACTAGATCTTCATATTTTACCTTGCAGATTTGATATTCCATAACCCTTTGACTGTACCTGACAGTGTACACATTAACTGAACGTGATTTTGATTTTGAACGTACACATTCTGTTTTGTACCAATTTCTTTATAGCATGTATTACTCAATAATCGTGCACATTTAAATGCGATGCTACTTGACTTTTAAAACGAATCCCAACCCCATATGCAATTCTAGAAAAAAAATTAATATCTGTTTAATTTCTCATACATTTGCCTTCTAGGTGACAAAACAACATGGGTAAGAAGTTACAGGAAATATTGGTTTTCCTCCTCATCATCATCCTGACTGAGCCTAGCGTGCCAGAAGCTAACTGCAGCTGTCTCAATTCACACTGTGACTGTCGCAGTATGAACCTCACCAGTGTCCCTCAGAACCAAGCAATATCCATTCGTAGCTTGGACTTGACATCTAATGCTATAACAACTTTAAGCCAGTCAGAAATGAATGTGCTCTTGAGGTATAAGGACTTAAGAGGTTTAAAATTCGCTAAAAATCGTATTTTTAAGATAGATTGTTTCCCACATCTGCCCAGGCTTAAATGGTTGACCTTGAAGAAGAACAGGATTACCCAGATTTCCCCTAAAACATTTTTAAATCTACCCAAACTAACATTTTTACTCCTAAATTTCAACCAGATAAATAACATTCATCCTGGAACATTTTCAATGTTAGCACAACTCGAACATTTAGAATGGGTAGTGGGTATTTAGTGGGTATTAACTGATTTCAGCAAGGCTTTTGACTTGGTCGATCACACCGTCGCAATGAAGCACATACTGGAGCATGGAGTCCGCCCTGAACTCATCCCGTGGATTTGTAGTTTCCATGAAGGAAGAAGCCAGAGGACACGGTACAGAGGGGTGTTGTCCCACACCAAACAACTTACCTGTGGTTTGGCACAGGGCACCAAGCTCGGTCCGATCGTGTTTATCATCCACGTAAACAAACTACCGGACATTATATGTTCCCCGTCGTGGGCTTTCGTCGACGATCTGAACCTAGTGGAGTCCCGGCTTGTATCTGAACCATCTAGAATTCAGAACGACCTCGATCGTCTATCCGGCTGGACAAACGACAAGAGCATGAGACTAAACCCGGGCAAGTGCAAAACTATGCAGGTCTGCTTCTCCCGTAATCCTCCCCCGCCACCTGCATTAAACATCGATGGTCACCAGCTAGCTGTTGTCAGTGTAGCTAAGTGTCTTGGGGTGACATTTCAAGCTGACTTGAAGTGGGACGCTCACGTCAAAGGAAACAACCAAGAAGGGGAACCAGAGGCTATACTTGCTCTGTCGTTTGCGCCAATTCAACCCGCCCGTTGAAGATCTTCTTACTACATATACTTGTTTCGTCCGTCCTGTGTTGGAATATGCCGCGCCTCTATGGCACCCTGGTTTGACCAAAGCACAGAGAAGGAAGATTGAAAACATACAAAGAAGAGCCACCAGAATCATCCTTGCTAAGGAGTTC